AGATTTTATTTAATTCATGAATTAATGAGGAAATCAATGATGATGTAATAGCCAGTTCAAAGGAGAATTTAAAATCATACATATGTAAGCAATGCTGAAATGAACATACAAAGAGATTTAAGACTAGGCAAATTATTCCACAGATAAAATTAATTTGAATGTCTAGAGACAAGAATCATTATCATTATTATTATGATCAGTTTTCCACAACTCACAGATTTGTAGGATAGCTCAAAGACAATGAAAAGCTCAGATAACCCAAAAGGGATTTGAGAGAGGCACCCAGAAACTTTTTGGTCCATTTCAAAATGTTTCACAGTTCTGTATTAGTTCTTTTCAGTGCTTGTGAGAATTTCTTCTAATATGCAGGGATTTTTACTTTCTCCTGTTGGATACTATTAGGAAAAAAGGGAAATTTTAGGACAAGGATAGACGAGGCAGTAAAGCAAATGGCAGAAGAGGAGGAGAGACTTTCCCAGTGAAGCCTTGGGAGAAAGAAGTGAAAGATGAAGAGAAGGGAGCCTAGATTTTTGAATTACAGGTATATAACTTGACATCTGAGGAGCCTGGAGTTAGAAGAACAGAGAAAGTATGGAAAACTGCACACTCATAACACTTCTGACACCAAATATATAGTTTTTTTCCCCTCACATTAAGCAATTCTGATGCTACCTACTTGGAGTTAGTACAGACCTCACACCTTGAGGGCTCAGTCCCATAAGATTTCCCCTACTAATCATAAGTCCCAGTATTACCAGAGAGCCATCCGAGTAAAAGGTGGCTCTCTCCTCCTCAGTTTTTATTACACTCACAAGAAAGAATTCAGATGAGTGACAGAAAGCAGTATTGAAATAAAGCAAGGAGATTTATTAAGAATACACTTGGCAGCCCTAGCTGGTTTGGCTCAGTGGATAGAACGTCGGCCTGCAGACCAAAGGGTCCCGGGTTCAATTCCAGTCAAGGGCATGTACCTTGGTTGCGAGCTCCTCCCTGGCCTGGGCCCTGGTTGGGGTATGTGCAGGAGGCAACTAATTGATGTGTTTCTCTCACATTGATGTTTCTCTCTGTCTTTCTCTCTCTCTTCCACTCTCTGAAAATCAATGGCAAAATATCCAGGGGTGAGACAACAACAAAAAAAGAATACACATGGTATAAGGCACAAGCAGGCAACTCAGCTAGTCTGAGTGCCCCACTTGGTGGGGGTTCAAGGGTTTTATACTTTCCCCTCCATAGGTTTCAAGGTTCTCCTGTCAGAAAGACTAGATTTCAAGGTCCCCCTTTTACATTGGTGCAGCTTTCCCCAGAATTTATGAGAACATCTGGCCATGTTGTCTTCGCAAGTCCCAAGAGGGCTGACTTCTTTGTTCAGTGGGTGAGATAAACTCCCCCTTTTCATCCCTTCCCCTCCTCCTGCCCTGACAGCTATTTTATCCTGCCTGACATTCCCCCCTCAAGTAATACCATCCAAATGCTTTTGGATTTTTGTTATTTGTCTCCAAGACTTCATCTGTCCTTGGGTTTAGCTGGCACAAATGGCATTAATTGGGTCTGTGTCCTCTGTTTTCCCAGGCCAGGGTGATTCAAGCTCTGTATTCTCTGGTTAAGGAATTGCTCTCAAGTGTCCTTAGTTGGGGAAGATAAGATCTTGCAGTTCAGAAGCTGGCTGCAAGCTGCCCAAAGTGTTTGGTCTTGTTTAATTTTGTTGTCTCAGTTTCCCCATTCCACTTGCCCAGGGATTTCCCTAGCTTCTTACTATGCTGGCACACCAGATGGCCACCTGTCAACTTCTGACCAATTTGCTACAAATCGTGGGTTCTCACAACCTCCTCAGGTTTGATAATTTGCTATGTTGGCTCACAGAACTCAGGGAAACACTTATTTAAATTACAAGTTTATTATAAAGAATACAATCAAGCATACAGATGAAGAACCAGGTAAAGAGGTACATAGGGCGAGATTCAGAAGTATCCTGAGTATAGGAGCTCCTGTCCCTGAGAAATTGGGTTGCTCTACCCTCCTGATCCAAGGAGGTGTTAACCTGAAAGCTCATTATCCCCTACTTTAGGAATTTTTATGGAGGCTTTATCACAAAGGCACGATAGATTATTAACTTTATCTCTGGCCCCTTTCCCCTCCCTGGAGGTTGAGGAGTGGGGTCTAAAAGTTCCAACCCTCAAATGGTGACTTAATCTTTCTGGGACTGGTCACCATCCTGCTGCTCTCTAGGAGAGACCAGTCACCTCATTAGCATACAAAAGACACTCTTCACTCCAGGGATTCTAAGGGTCTTAGCTCTTGTGTTAGGAATAGGGATCAAAGACCAAATATTAGAAGAAAAGATGCTTCTAGCGAATTACAAAGATTTTTAGGAGCCCTGTGTCAGGAGTCTGGGTAGAGGCCAAATATATAGTTCTTATTGTGTCACAGATGAGAAGAGCTAGAGTTACACAATCACAGAATTGGAAAGATAGGATACATTAGTCGGCAGTATCACCTACCTGTAGGAAACAGAAGGGGTTTATAAATAACTTACTAGAAATGTGAATTAAGTATAATCATAAATATAAATTAAGAATAACTTAATTTATGTTGTCATTACCTATTACTATTAATTTCAGATATATAAAATATTGTTGATATTTACTCTAAGTCATTATTTTGGAAGGACTTCCATGGATTTTCTGACTGTGGTAGCCCTAACATTGTCTTTCTTAGTTTAAGTTCCTGAACTCCAAACCTTGCTACTGTAATGGTTTTCGGGAACTAACTTGCCAAGTTAATATTCTATACTTCACTAATATATCATATTTCCGTGAGACTCCATAATTTACAAAGTGCCTCACAGTGTTTGAAGGAGGTAGGTATTATTTTCTATTTTTACTTTTTAAAAATATATTTTTATTGATTTCAAAGAGGAAGGGAGAGGGAGAGAGAGTTTCATAGAAACATCAGTGATAAGAGAGAATCATTGATGGGCTGCCTCCTGCATTCCCTTCCCTCACCCCCCACTGGGGATTGAGCCCACAACTTGGGCATGTGCTCTTGACCAGAACCGAACTCGGGACCTTCAGCCCGAAGGCTGGTGCTCTATCCACTGAGCCAAACCAGCTAGGGCTATTTTCTATTTTTATAGCCAAGGAAACTAAAGATTGTTTAGCAAACTCTCCAAGCAACACCTTAGTTTTATATGCAACTTCTTGCTAAGCAGTTGGCAATGTTTTAGTAGTATGTTGAGTGCTTGGTGCAGCCCTGAGATAATTTCTTCTGAACCTTAATGCCCTTGTATGTTTGCATTGAGCTCTACATCCCAAATAGCTGTTTATATTTTTAGATATAGTTTGAATTACTTTTGTTGCAGTGTTTCATAGACTTTTCCTGTGGTGACTAGATGTCCAGTAAGATTGGTGTTTGGGGGGGATTGCTGAGGTTGTCTCTATGCCAACATTGTCCTATAGAAACACAGTATGAGCCACATATTTCATATTAAATTTTCACATAGCCACATTGAGAAGTTATTTTAATATACATTTAACCCAATATATCCAAAATATTAACATTTAAATATGTAATTAATATGAAAAATTGATGAGATATTTTACTTTCTCTCTCTTTTTTTTTTTTTGTACTAAGTCTTCACAAACTGATGTGTATTTTATGCTTATGGTGCACTTCGATTTGTACTAGCCATATTATAAGTACTCAGTATCCATAAATCTAGACCTAGGTGTGTCTCATTCTTTTTTCCTCTTTCTGTCCTCATCAATTTGTGACTGTTAGCTTTGCCTATTCTTTCATAGACTTTCCTCTTTTCTCTCCTGCTGCTTCCAACTCAGCATGTACTTACTGTGGCTTATTCTTGGACTCTCCTTGAATTATTAGCCAGTAATTTTCAACCTTTTTTCATTTCATGGAAATGAACTAAACTAATTACTAAAATTCTGCAGCATACACAAAAATACATGATATTTTTTGTTGATTCAATAAAAAATAGGTATAATTTTGACTGATTAATAAAAAAACTCATAGCAATTACCTATAATTTTTGTTCCAAAGTGATTTTTAAAAAAATCAGGTGCCTATATTTGTATATAAGGATTTTTGGTGCCAAGAATTAACCAGTTGGATGCAACCTTATTATTCTAGGTGACCAATAAGATGCAACTCTTTTATATGATCTACATAAAAGACAGGGCATTTACACTGGACAGCTGTTGTTGTGTTGGCTGTTGTCATTTTTTTATTTGACGATCTAAGGGAAAATAAGTCAGTACCTCTGACTGAATAGTCAGGTATTGCATGTTTTAAAAATTCTTGCAGCACACCATTTGAAAATCGCTGGTCTAAGCTATTTTCTGTTCTAAATCAATTACTATTTGTCAGTAAAGGGCTAGTGTCCTGGAAGGGGCCCCTCATGGAGACTGTTGTCTAAGAAACAGGCCTGTCTCTATGATGTTTCCATTTCTCCTGTTTAAGTGGAGGCTATTGAAAGGAAGGTAGATTATTCCACTTTGCACATTGCAAACAGTGACATTGAATTTGAATTTTAGAAATAAGTGGGATCTGGGAGAGAGAATGAGAATGAATGTTGTGCTTAATATTGGGAAGTTAAATACCTGTTGCATATGATAGCTTTGTATTCACAGAATGCTCTTTGAAAAATGGTTTCAGTAGATAAGGACATCTCCATTGCTATGCTGCTAATATTAGTTACTTTCTATTTCTGTCAGATTAACCACTTCATTTGTGTGTCTATAAACACACACGTGAATCTAATAAAAATAACTAAGTAACTTTTTAAAAATTATTTAAACTTGGTTGCTTTATTTTGCACTTTTAAAATTCACAAAGCTTCACAATATCTGTGTTTGATCACCAAGGTTTTATATGACAATGAAAATTTTATCGCATCAACTGGGCATACTCAAAAACAATGGATAATTTACAAACAAACTTTTTTAATGAAGAACATTTTGTAAAATGCACACTGGTACACATCTGAATTAATCTATCCTAAAATTAGACTTTAAAATAAAAAAAAAACAAAAAACCACAGACAGATTTAACACTGACAAGCCTACCAGAATAATGCTGGTGGCAAGCTATAAACAGCTTTAATGTTGAGTGTAATTTGGGGGTAGCAGGAAGAAAATATTATCCATTTAACCTCCATTTAAATGCATCTGTGAGTAAAAGTTCTATAATTTAATGAAGTGAACAACAATTTAAAAAAGTGAACAACTCTTTTGCCTATAGGTTAGTTTCTCAGGTTTGTTTGTTTTTAACTGTGAAATTTTGACTAAAGAAAATGGATCCTAGAACTAGAATCCTTAAGGAAAAGAAAAACATGGGGGTGAGGGAGAAACAAAATCAGTATTTAAATTTTTCTAACGTGATTGTAACAAACAAAATCATTGTTCATATTAAGAAAGAATATCAGAGATGATATAGGGCAGTGGTCGGCAAATTCATTAGTCAACAGAGCCAAATATCAACAGTACAACGATTGAAATTTCTTTTGAGAGCCAAATTTTTTAAACTTAAACTATATAGGTAGGTACATTGTTATTAACTAAATTAGGGTACTCCTAAGGCTTAGGAAGAGCCACACTCAAGGGGCCAAAGAGCCACATGTGGCTCTCGAGCTGCAGTTTGCCGACCACAGATGTAGGGGGTTGAGTTTTGGTTTATGTAACTTCTAAAAATATTATTTCTTTTCAACTACTCATTGCAGAAAAAACTGGACTATTGACAAATATCTCAGTGTACTTATTTAAAATTATAAAATACAAACTTTCAATGTGTTGATATACATTGGTATATTTTATTTTTTGCTAGAAACTGAAAAGAAAAAGATGTTCATCATTTACTTGAAGCCTATTAATATTGGAAACAAGGAAGTGAGGAAAGTAGAAATTCATTTTGATTTGCAATTCAACATATCACAAGCTTCTGTTAAAGCTTTAGGAGAAGACAAACAGGTGGCAGGTTTAATTCTCTTTAATTATTTGACTGTGTTTTAATATGTTTTCATGTCTCTTAAATTTCCATGTTGGTTTTTTAAAAATTGAAATATAATTGACATAATATTATACAGTCATGTGTTGCATAATAATTTTTCAGTTAGTGACAGACTACATAGATGAAGGTGGTCCCATAAGATTATAATGGAGTTGAAAAATTCCTATCACCTAGTGACAGCATAGCACTCATAACATCATCATAGTGCAATGCATTTGTAATGATGTTGATGTAAACAAACCTACAGCCAGTTGCATAAAAGCGTAGCACATAATCCTTGGTAACGATAATAATCAACAATATTATTGATTTATAAATTTACTATACTATATATTTTTTGTCATAGAGTATTCTTTCTCTTTGTTAAGAAAAAAGTTTGCTATAAAACAGTATGCTGTGTTACATTGGCAGCAGCCTCATACATCTGAGGCTTATTGTGTCTTTTGCTTGAATCATTTCATGTTGTGTTTGTTTTAATCTCATGTTGTTTTATACAGTAACATGCTATACAGGATTGTAGCCTAAGAGCAATAGGCTCTATAATATAGCATAGGTGTGTAGTAGGCTATACCATCTAGGTTTGTGTAAGTGCACTCGATGATGTTCGCATAACAAAGACATCACCTAATAATGTATTTCTCAGAACACATCCCCATCATAGTGGTGCATGACTGTATTAGTTTCAGGTGTACAACATAATGATCAGCATTTGAATATATAGCAAAATGACCACAACAAGTCTAGTTAACAGCCGTTGCCATAAAGATTTTTTTTTCTTGTGAGGAGAACTTTTAATTTACTTTCTTAGTAATTTTCAAATATGTAGTTTTTGTCTATTTCTCCTTTAGGTTTGTTAATATTTGTTTTATATAGGTAGGTTCCTATGTTAGGTGCATAAATATTTTTAAATATTACATTGTGTTGTAGGATTGATCCCTTTATCATTATATAATGACCTTCTTTGTCTCTTATGATAGTCTTTGTTTTAAAATCTATTTTGTCTGATATAAGTATAGCTACCCCAGCTTTTGTTTGGTTTCCATTTGCATGGAATATTTTTTTTCCATTCCTTCACTGTCAGTCTATGTGTGCTCATATAGATGGATCTCTTTCTCTTTCTTAATCTATTCAGCCACTTTATGTCTTTCGATTGGAGAATTGAATTCATTTATATTTAAAGTTATCGATAGGTACATACTGATTGCCATTTTGTAAATTGCTTTCTGGCTGTTTTGTACACCCTCTGTGCCTTTCTTCTCTTGCTCTATTCCTGTGTGATTTGATGATTTTCTGTAGTATTATGCTTAGTTTCCCTTTTCCTTTTTGTGTCTACTATACGTTTTTGCTTTGTTACCATGAGGCTTATATAAAACAACTTATAACAGCCTATTTTTAAGTTAATAATAATTTAAGTTTGATTATATTCTAATGCTCTGCATTTTTACTCTTTTCCCCACATTTTATTTTTTTGATGTTAAAATTTACAACTTTTTATTTTGTGTTCCCTTAATGAAGTATTATAGTTATTTTTACTACTTTTGTCTTTTAGCTTTCATATTAACTTTATAAATAATTATAATATTAGATTATTCTGAATTTTACTATATATTTACTTTTATCAATAATAGTTTTATATATTTTTACAATTGATTTTAGAGAGAAGAAGGTAGAGAGAGAGAGAGAGAGAAACATCGATGTGAGAGAGAAACATCGATCAGTTGCCTCCCACACACCCTGACTGGGGATCAAACTTGCAACCAGGGTATGTGCCCTGGCCAGGAATTGAACCCACCACCATTTTTAAAAAAATATTTTTATTGATTTCAGAGAGAAAGGGAGAGGGAAAGAGAGAGATAGAAACATCAATGATGAGAGAATCATTGATCAGCTGCCTCCTGCATGTCCCACACCGGGGATTGAGTTCTCAACTCAAGCATATGCCCTGACCAGGGATTGAACCGTGACTTCCTAGTTCATAGGTTGATGCTTTAACCACTGAGCCAGCTGGGCTGTATATTTTCCTGTTACTAATTAGCACCCTTTCATTTAAGCTCAGATAGTCCCTTTGACATTTCTTGTAAAGATGTTTTAATAATGATGAACTCCTTTAGCTTGTCTGGAACACTTTATCTCCAATTCTGAATGATAGCATTGTCAGTAGGGTATTCTTGGTTGGAAATTTTTGTTTTTCAGCACTTTTAATATATTGTGCCACACACCCTTGGCCTGCAAAGTTTAATTGAGAAAACTGAGTCTTAGAGAGGTTCTCTTTTATGTAACAAATTATTTTTCTCTTGCTGCTTTTATGATTCTCTTTTTGTCTTTAATTTTTGACACTTTAGTTATAATGTGTCATGGTCTCTCTTTCTCTCTCTCGCTCTCTCTCTCTCCCCCTCTCCCTCTTTCTCTCTCTCTTTTCTTTTTAACCTCTTTGGTTTTCTGAATCTGGATGTCTATTTCCTACTCCAGGTTAGAGAAGTTTTTAGTCATTATTTCTTCAGATAAAGTTTCTATCCCTTTCTCTCTTTCTTCTCCTTCTGGAACCCCTGTAATATGAATGTCTGTCTGCTTGATTTTGCTCCGTAAGTCCCTTACACTATCCTCACTTTTTTCATTCTTTTTCTTTTTGCTGCTCTGGTTGGGTGAGTTCGACTGCCTTGCCCTGTTCACTGATCCTTTCTTCTGTTTCATCTAATCTGCTGTTGGACCTCTGTATTGTATTTTTCAGTTTAGTTACTGTATTAAGGTCTGTGAGTTCTAATTGGTACTTCCTTATATTTTTTACGTCTTTTTTTAAGGTCTCACTATGTTCCTCCATTATTCTCCCACATTTGGTGAGCATTCTTATGACCATTATTTTGAACTGCTTATCGGGTAAATCACTTACTTTCTTTTCATTAAGGTCTTCTTCTAAGGTGTATTTTGTTTTCATTTGGAACATATTCCTTTGTTTCTTCATTTTCCTTAACTCTCTGTGTTGGTTTCTATGCATTAGATCAAACAGCCACCTCTCCCAATCTGAAGGAGTGGCCTCATGAGGAGATTAGCCTTGTTGCTCAACCTTGCCCTAGCTTTTAGTTGTCTCTCAATCCTGTGGTTGCCCAAGCAGCCTTTTTTATTTTCAGTGGCTCCTAGTATTTGAGGTTGTGTCAAGAGTCGTCTGTATCCCAAAGGGGAAGATTTCAATCAACACCTAGATTTAGGCTGATTGGAAAACAGACCATCAATCAGCAGCTTTTTAAGTATGCAAATATATATATATATATATATATATATATATATATATATATATATATATCCCCCACCCCTGTGGGACTGTGAGTGTAAGCCCCACTATCCACTAGAGCCAGGTGATCTAGAGGTGTCCCCTGGGTAGCAGCCACAAAAATTGGGGTGCTAAGTGGTGGCACAATCTCCTTTCTGGCAGATACTGATGATCTGTAGTGAAGCAGAGAAAGAGTGCGAAGGTAGCATCTCTGGGCCTCTGTTTTAGAGAGTACCTCAGTAGCCTCTATACATGTGCCTATCCAGAAAATCTGCCTCTCTTGTCAGTGCTTCAGGAAAGCAAATAGGCCTTTTTCAAAGAAAGACTGGGGGTATACTTTAGTCTGCGGAATGTGCTGTGCTCTAGGGATGGTCTCCCCAGTTGTTATAGTCCTATGGGACACAGGAATGCAAACCCTGCTAGCCATCAGAACCAGGCAATCCAGTGGCATACCCTGAGTGGCAACCTCCAAACCTGAGGCACCAGATGCATGTACAAGCTGCCCTCTGGGAGATCCTGGTGCTCTGGGGCAGGTGGAGGGAGAGTATGAAGATAGCATCTGCCCTCTAAGTTCCTGGAGAGGTTTATGTATAGTTGGCCCTAAGGTGTGTGTTTAATTAGAAACCTGCCTCTCAGGCAGCAGCTATGAAGATAAGCAATAGGCCTCTTTCACAGAAGGACTGGACATCTCAGTCTTTTGTGTCGCTGCTGTGTCCTGGGTTGGTAGCTGGTTAAGAACTCTCTCTTCAGTGGCTCCACCCCTGTGGGACTGTGAGTGTAAGCCCCACTATCCACTAGAGCCAGGGAATTTAGAGGTGTCCCCTGCATGGCAGCTGCAAAAATCAGGGCACTAGATGAGAGTACAAGCTCCTTTCCAGGAGACATTGGCAAGCTGGAGAAAGGGACTCTAGAGTGGAAAGATGGTGCATTTTGGCTTCTGACCCTGGAGAATATTTCAGTAGGCCCCTAGATGCATGTTAAATTAGATGCCTGCCCCTCAGTCTGATGTTTTAATATAAACAAATAAGTTTCTTTCATAGAAAATTTGTGTTTTTTTCACGGGTTGCCTCCATGCTGGGCCCTGGGGAAGGTGAGCCTGCATGTGCAAGCGCTTTAAGAACTATGTCTCAGTTTGTTACAGCCTATAGGTCTCATGGACTTTAGTCCTGTTGGCTTTCAAAGCTAGATACTTGGGGTGGGGGGGGCGCTTGTCTCTCAGATGCAGGTCTTAAAAGTTGGGGTACCAGAGTTTCTTCTCTTTTTCAAGGAGAAATTGGGGTTTTGAGTTCCTTCCTGATTGTGGGTTGCCAAGTGGTAGGGTGTATGGTGAGATTGTGTCTCAACATCTCCTGCCTGCTTCAGTGTGGGTTTTTCTTGTTCACCTAATCTATGGGAATCATTCAGCTAGGTTTTTTTCCCCAGAGGAAATTGCACTATGTGTAGCTGAAGATCAGTGTTTCTGTGGGAGGGGGTGAGTTTAGGATCTTCCTACATTGCCATCTTGAACCAGAACTCCTTGTTGAGTTTTGATGTGAATATTTGATTAAGCAGAAGGATTGATCTTTTGCAGATCATAATAGTTGTGAGTTCTAATCCCAATTCTTCCTTTTCAGTTATCATTGTCTTAACTACATAGGACACAAAGCTTCTTTGTGTCTCAAAAAGCTTTAATTTTATTTATTTTGAACAGTTGAAAATTTTTCTAGGATAACACCTCCTTAACCATATTCTTCCAGAAATTCTGAGGATACTTGCTGTGGACTTCTTGGCACTTTCTTATCACTGAGCTCCTTGAGGATGAGGGGAATCACTAGGAATAGGGTCTTTTTGGAAGTTTTTCAGCAGTTCTATCTACTGGTCTTACATTGTGGAAATGAGATGAGCCTTGTGTAGACTGCTGTGGTCTCTGTCTTGCTGAGTATAATATTTCCTATTTATCCACAAGAACAAGGAGCCTTTCTCTGTCATAGACAGTAGGCAGGGCAAAGAAATTTGTGGCAAGAAGATACAAAACACTATGGTATGGTCAGTAGGGGTGGAATTAAAATGTCAGAGACCTGAGGGAGTATGTGTTAGGCTGGTTTCTTTTTGGCTTTGAGTTGTATATAGAATCATTCTATACATGCTAAAGTGCTCTGCAAATATAGTTTCCAAAGACTTACCTATGAGAAGACCATTTCATGGCTGAAGATGAGAAATAAAAGTAGAATCAATTAATTAATAAAAAAACACCTCCTCCATCATACTTCATATGAGTTGGCCTGACACTGTAGGTTTGCCTTCATTCATGAAAAACATCAGAATTATATGTATTTCCACATTTCACAAAATGAATAAAATATTTTGGGAGAAAATTGGGCTTTGCACACTACTAAGCCACAGTTCCTCGATCACAAGACCCTGTGAGGAAGGGGGGGGGATGATGAGAGCCTGCAGTGGGGACTCAGCAGACTCATCCTGAGAGCTTCAGTCCCTGAGTAAAGCTCAAGGGGTCAGACTTGGGACAGAGGAAGCAAAGGCTGATACAACTTCAGAGTAGGAGTGACTGAGAGCGGGAAAGTGGTCAACCAGAGCTGGTTCTGAAAGGAGGAGGTAGGCAGAGACTCTGGAAACAGTGAAATGATCCTTCAAAATGACCAGCTTCTAATATTTTATCTGCTATTTCTGAGCTTTAAATTTTCCTTAAATTAAAAAAAAAAAGATTACTGGTTTTAAAAGTCATGTGGCTTTTGGCTTGCATTTCAGATATTGTTTGACCAGATAAAAATCTCCTCACAACTTCTTGATAAGTTTGTAAAGGAAGAACCTGAGAGTCCTATCAACCACAAAAGAGAGACAGGTATATTGGGAAATAACAAATTTTCGTTCTCTGAATACCCTATAAACATAATGATAAAACCTTACTTGGAAGAGGTCACTGAAAACCTATGATCATATAAGAGTAATGAATGTATTATTGTGCCTTTGGAGAAAGAAAACTGCTAAGAGCCTTGAATCATTTTGCCCACCTGATACAGTCTCTCTTCTGGGTCAGTTGGAAATAAAGGAGAAAACATGATGTGGGTGGCAGGCAGCAGGAGACAGGGTGTACAGGAGCATCTACCTACAAAGCTGACCCCCCACACATCACGTACCCCTTATGAGTTACAGCCCCAGGCTGCTTTCTATAGCCCCGTAGATTTACCAGCTCTTACCAAAATATGGTATGTCCCTATACTGAGGGTTCCATGAAGAGCACTTGGAGAGAATGCCCACTGTCGTGAGTGGATATTGTGATCACCTTTATATGCTCTTTTCTTAATGTGATAGACCAGGCAGAAGAATCCACCAAGCTGGCAGCGTTAACGCCTGCCGAAGTTGACTACTGCCTAATAACTATCCCCTTAAACGACCAGTCTGAGCTTTCTGTGAGTATGGGGTGCGGGGGACAAGATTCTGAACTGTGTCCACTAGGATGCCAACAGGTGGAAGCACTCTCCTGGCTTGTAGTCCATTTTCTCCAGGCCAACCTTCTGTCTCTGGTTTGACCATCCCCTCCTTTAGATTATTTTTGCCTGTCATGATTATGTGATCTCTCCTTTCTCTCAACTTGGCTCTCTCATGGAATGAGTGACTTGGCGGGCTCTGCCTCATTCCCTCATTTGGGATCTGGTGACTGAGATGTAGGGAAAGGAGACTAATCTTCGGGGATATACCTGTTTTTTACTTACTACCTGTGGCAACTTGGGCAAATTTCCTAACATCACTGAGCCTGAAGATTCCCATCTCTAAAACAGAGGTGATAGCTGGTTCTCAGTGTGGATCTCTGCGATCAAAAACAGAATGTGTGTACAGCACCTAACACACTGCTTAGCACGGATAGGTATTCTGCCCCTTCTCCTTGGCTTACATTTGATTATCTGGACACGTCATACAGAAGTGCGATGACATTGTAATGGTTTTATAAAAACAAACACACCAAAGATTACTCCTTTAGATAGTCGGTCTCCTTGGCAGGTTATGCATTTATCCCAACAATTTTGATGCTATTAAAGACAGTTTTTGTAAGTCTTCCTTTGATGTTTCCCTTAGTAACTTTGGAATGCTGTGATTGTCTTTGATAGTGGCAAATTTTCGCCTGAGAATGAATATCAATTTATTAGAATAGCCAACTCTAATAAATAAAGAGCCTTGTATCTTAGTATTCAATGGAAATGCTTTTCTTTGGAGGTGGCTCCAAAAGAATGATAAAAGAGGGCTTCAAAGACACCATAATTAAACACATATTTTTTTTCTGCAGCAAACAAAGATAGCTGATAGTTCACCTGAAAAATTGAAACTGGGTGATATACAGCAAGGTCAGATTTTTTTAATCTATCATAAATAAGTCTTGAATGGTATTTTATATTTAAATATTTAATTGAGAAACTTTTGTTTTTGTTTTTAATTCCCATTAGAAGTTCCTTCAAAACATGAGTATTCTTCAGATTTACAAGAGCAATCAGGAAAAATCCTGGTTCCTAAATTAAAAGATAAATCCAGGTAAATGATTTTCAAAACTAACCAATTATGTAGATTGCTGTTAATGTGACTAGTTAATGCACAAGTCAACAGTCTAGGTCTGTGGTTGGCAAACTCATTAGTCAACAGAGCCAAATATCAACAGTACAACGATTGAAATTTCTTTTGAGAGCCAAATTTTTTAAACTTAAACTATATAGGTAGGTACATTGTTATTAACTTAATTAGGGTACTCCTAAGGCTTAGGAAGAGCCACACTCAAGGGGCCAAAGAGCCGCATGTGGCTCGTGAGCCGCAGTTTGCTGACCACAGGTTATCCCTCTTTCCTGGACCTGGCCACGCCCCACAGAAGGAGAGAGCGCTGTGTGCAGTTTTCTGTAGGATTAGAGCAGAGGTGGAATGTTCTCCTGACCTATAGGTCTCTACTATTATACCCCCAGTGCTTTCTTTTGTGATGTATTTTTCTGCAGCAAAACATTGAATATCCCCAATCAGAAAATATATATAATTGGCATTAATTAATTGGCCACTTTTCCATATAGGCCTCTGAAGAACAGATCATAAGACAAGTGATTTTTTTATGGTTTGAGACATAATTAAAATGAATTAAACTGTACATATGTTAAGTGTATAATTTAATGAGTTTTGACATATGTCTATACCCAGGAACCATGACCACAAGCAGATAATGACCAATCTTCACCAAGAATTTCTTCCTGCCCCTTTGAACTCCCTCCCTCCTGCCCTTCTTTATACCCCTCCCACCCCCGCTGCAATCACTGATCTATTTTCTGTGACAGATAAGTTTGCCGTTTTAAAAATCATATAGAAATGGAATCAAGGAGCTATTTTTCTAGCTTCTTTTTTGTGTGTAATTATTTTGAGATTCATTCATGTTGTATGTATCAGCTGTTCATTCTTCTATATTGCCCAGTAGTGTTCCATTGTATGGGTGGATACACTGCAAGCTGTTTATCCATTCACCTGTTGATTGACAGTTGAGTTGTTTCCAGCTTTTTGTTGTTATAAGTAAAGTCCTTAGGATTCATGTATAAGTCTTTGCAGGGACACATGTTTTCTTTTCTCTTGGGATGGAGTGGAATGGTTGGATCATTGTTGGTGTATGTTAATTTTTTTAAAAAAAATACTGTCAAATTGCTTTCCAAAGTGGTTGCATCATTTTACATTCCCATCAACAACTTTTGAGAGTTCTAGATGCTAGACCAGGGGTGGGCAAACTTTTTGACTCGAGGGCCACAATGGGTTCTTAAACTGGACCGGAGGGCCGGAACAAAAGCATGGATGGAGTGTTTGTGTGAACTGATATAAATTCAAAGTAAGCATGATTACATAAAAGGGTACAGTCTTTTTTTTTTTTTAGTTTTATTCATTTCAAACGGGCCGGATCCAGCCCGCGGGCCGTAGTTTGCCCACGGCTGTGCTAGACATTCTTGCCAGTAGTTGGTAATGTCTTCCTTATCTTGCCATTGCAATGGAAGTTAAGTGGTATTTCATGTGGCTTTAATTTGCATTTCCTTTATTTGTAACAGACCCAAACTAGAAACAACCCAAATGTCCATCAATAGATGAATGGATAAACAAATTTTGTTATATACATACAGTGGAATAGTACTCAGAAATAAAAATAAATTAACTATTGATATAGACAACATGAATGACTCTCCACACAATACCAAGTCAAAGAAGCCAGACAAAAAAAGAGTATGTATTGTATGATTCCATTTACATAAAATACTAGAAAATGCAAACTAATCTCTAGAAACAGAAAGATCAATGATTGCCTGGAAATGGGGGTTCATTGGCCCTTTTTTTATTGTGATAAGAACACTTAACATGAGCTTTGCCCTCTTAATAAAATTGTATGTGCCCAAACAATATTGTTAACTGTAGGCACATTATTATACAACCAATTTCTAGGACTCATTTATCTTGTGTAATTGAAACTATACTTGTTGAATAGCAAGTTTGCATTTCCTCCTCCCTTCAGCCCCTGGAAATCACCATCCTATTCGCCCTTTCTGTGCGTTTGACTCATTCATTCATTCATTCATTCATTTCCTCACCCAAGGATATGTTTTGTTGATTTTAGAGAGAGAGGGAAAAGGGGGTTGGAGAAAGAGAAACATTGATGTGAGAGAGAAACAGATCAGTTGCCTCCCGTACACACCCCAGCTGGGCATCAAACTTGCAACCTAGGTATGTGCCCTGACCAGAAATCAAACCCACAACCTTTTGGTGTATGGGATTATGCTCCAACCAACTGAGCCAACCATCCAGGGGTGAGTTTGACTCTTTTAGATACCTTGTGTAAGTGGAATTGTGCAGTATTTGTCCTGTGACTGGCTTATTTCACTTAGCATAATGTCATTGAAGTTCATCCATGTTGTTGCACATTGCAGAATTTGCTTCTTTTTTAAGGCTGATGAGTATTCCATTGTATGTATGTATCACATTTTGTTTATTCATTCATTCATCTATGGACATTTAGATTGTTTCTGTATCTTGGCTATCTATACTAATAAAAGGGTAATATGCTAATTAGACTGGACATATTCCGGACATCCATCTGGATGTCCTTCCGGACAAAGCCATGGTGGCGAGGGCCAAGGCAGAGGCAGTTAGGAGTGACCAGGTCAGCAGGGGAGGGCAATTGGGGGCGACCAGGCTGACAGGAGAGGGCAATTAGGGGTGACTATGCTGGCAGGCAGAGGCAGTTAGGGGCAATCAGGCAGGCAGGCAGAGGTGGTAGGGGCAATCAGGCAGGCAGGCAGGTGAGCGGTTAGGAGCTGGTGGTTCCCGATTGGAGAGGGTGCAGGCCGAGCTGAGGGACCTCCCCCTCCCGTGCATGAATTTCGTGCATCAGGCCTCTAGTTGTAAATAATGCTGCAGTGAACATGAGAGTGAAGACATTTCTTCAATATCCTGATTTCAATTCCATTGGATATATGGGATTGCTAGATCGTATAATAGTTCTACTTTTAATTTGTTTGAAGAAATTCCATACTGTTTTCTATAGCAACTACACCATTTTACATTCCCATGAATTATGCAAGGGTCCCAATTTTTCCACATCATCAACAACACTTAGATTTTATTGTTGTTAATCCTCACCTGAGAATATTTTTTCAATTGATTTTTTTTTTTTTTAGAGAGAGTGGAAGGGAGGGAGGAAGGTATGGATGGATGGAGGGAGGGAGGGAGGGAGGGAGGGAGATAAGGAGGGAGGGAGGAAGGGAGATAAGATGAAAGAGAGAGAGAGAGAGAGACGTCAATGTAGGAGAGACACATTGCTTGGTTGCCTCTCACATGCACCCCAACCAGGGCCAGGGATCGAACCTCTAACCCAGGTACGTGTCCTGGACTGGGAGTTGAACCCAAGACCCTTTGGTCCATGAACCAACGCTCTAACCACTGACCCACACTGGCCATGACGAAAGCTATCTTTTTAGCACCTGAGGGGATTCTAAAGCAGAGCCAGACAGGAAGCACTGCTCTGCAGTTTTGCCAAACCTGGCTGCTTATCTGCGGGTCCTACCCTGCCTTCCTCTTTGTATGCCTGACAGAGAAGGGCTCCACAAAGGTTTGTTTTGTTTTAAATAACTAGTTGTTGTCAGGCAGAGGATCTATGGAAATGGATTGCAAGTTAAGTTCTGCACAGGTTATGGTGCTTCCCATGCACGGGGCTCACATCAGACAAAGGGTATATGAAGGGGAAAATAGTTAGGGCTGTGAAGGGAGGGAAGGAGGAGGTGATGGTTGTACAGTTCCACTGATTTGATATATTTTGTTTTAGGAAAGAATCTACTTTCAAGGGTGCCAGAAAGCAAGAAAGAAGGATGTCGGTAACGAAGTAACTTTTCTTGTTTGCAGGCATTACTTCCCAAATTTTAGTTATTTGCATACCATCTTCAAAATCCGTTATGGCTCTGCTCTTTATCTCTATTTTTCTCCATTAAATTGATCTTAAACTTATTTTAAAGGGAATTATTTCACTTCCAAATGGAAAATTAGCATGAGTTGTAACAAATAATAAGGCCCCAAATAAACACAATAGAAATAACAGTTATCATATCAAACTGTACTTTTACTTGTATCAGGCTTTGAGGCTAAAGCCTGTTCTTGCTTTTAAAGAAAAGATAAGTAGAAGAGAAGGGTTCAAGACCTACTGACACTTGAGATTTATCCTGAATGGAAGCAGACGTGGTAATGAAGTGAAAAATGTTTTGCTCTGAGTCAGTGGCATGGTTTTGTTTCTCTGGGCACCAACTTACACCTCTCCAGCTTGTCTCCCACTTTGGGGTGGTCAGTGCTCTAAATCTGTAGTCAGAGCATTTAAAAAAAATCTCTATAATGAATATTAAATGAAATTTTCTACAACCTTGAGATCATGAGCTTCAAACAAATGAGTTAAGGCTCTTCCTGGCTTGCTTTTAGCAATGGCTCTCACTTTCCACTGCCCATCTTCTGGTTGGAATCATCAGGGGAGCTGATACAAAACCGCAGCCTGAAGGTTCTGACTTAGTTGGTCCAGGGGAGAACGCAGGCATTGGGATTTGTTTCAAAGCCCCCTCCTGATATGAGCCAACTTGAAAAACAGCTGCTCTTGGTACTTGCACTTTTTAAAATAACTTTCAGCCCCTGAAAGTTATGTATATGTATATATGTATACACACACACACACACACACACACACACACACACACACAAATTTTTAAAAAATTGATTTCAGAGAGGGAGAGGGAGAGGGAGAGGGAGAAAGATAGAAACATCAATGATGAGAGAGAATCATCGATTGGCTGCCTCCTGCACACCCCCTATTGGGCATCGAGCCCACAACCCGGGCATGTGCCCTTGACTGGAATTGAACCCTGGACCCTTCAGTCTGCAGGCCGATGCTCTGTCCACTGAGCAAACCGGCTAGGGCTTCAAGCCCCTTTTATAAAACTAAAGAAAGTGAGATTTTTTTAATTGGGTGCATTCAGTGAAGTGATGCTTGCTCCTTTACAAGACACTGGCTGGGCAACTCTGGAACGAATGTAGGGGTTCCGCCAACCTTTTTTATTTTTTTTCACAAAAGGAAGATGGAGATAGGCCTGGCTCGCAGAATGCCTTTCACACATGAGCTTCTCTACAAAAAGGTGAACTGCTAAACATTTAAAATAAACTCATTTGGAAAATAGATTGTTCACCATCACCCACCTTAAAGGTTATGGGTTGTGTTACCATAAACAAGGGTGACGCTGCTTCCCACCCTAAGCTGCTTCTACGCTCTGCCATTTCAGGCACAGGGTGGATCCTCCAGCTGACATGTGTTAGATTGAGAAGAGCATGAGAGGTACCATCACCACTTTGGGATTCCCGGGATTCCTCCCTGGCCTGAAATGGGAACGAGCTGTTACGAGCTGAGTGGTGGAGCCCTGTTGAGAGAGGCATGGCAGCACCAGGACCGGGTCTCCGGAGGGCACAGGAAACAGGGCTCAAATAGAGAGGTGCTTTATTAAAGTCAAAACACACTTCATGCTAAAGTTTCTTTGTTTCAGCATTTCTAAAAATGAATCCAAAAATAGAAAATTAAATATATATATATATATATATATATATATATATATGTGTGTGTGTGTGTATGTATGTATGTATGTGTATGTATATGTATATATGTATGTATATGTGTATGTATATATATTATAGAGTTGAGTAATCCACCAGAACAGATTAAATTGTCCTGAAATCTCTAACCTTTACAGTTCAAGCTCAGTTTCTTTCTTTTTTTAAAATCCCCACTCAAGGATTTATTTTTTATTGATTGGAGAGAGAGGGAGAGGGAAACATCGATGTGAGAGAGAAACATTGATCAATTGCCTCACGGAATCACACCTGTTATCCTTCAGTGCATGGGACGACACACTAATTACTGAGCCACACCAGTCAGGGCCTGCTCAATTTCAAAAGGCTTTAAGGTTTAAATGAAAAGGACCCTCTTATTTTTATTTTGGTTCCTCTAAAATGTAGACAGGCATGTCTCTGAAAAAATCATTGTTATACTTTCTTTTGTTGTTTTTGGTAGTATTTTGAAGTTACAGTGTTGGCACGATATTGAGGTGCACCAGCTTTTAAACAGCTACTTTGCATCTCTTCAGATGCAAGTATCGGACTAGAGAGGATTTTGTCATCCTTTACAACAGCCGCTTGGCTGAGAACTAATGAAATCATCTGTTTCTTCTTCCCCTCCTTACTTCAGTGCCTTTTTATTATGTAAGAGACCTTGTTACTCCTCTTTTGTCTAACTTTATAGTGATATGCTTAATTGTACATAGTGGGTACTGACACCCCTTTAATAGGGTGCATTTACTATCTGTGTTTGTAGAAGTTCAATTACAGGAGACACCTCTTCTCGGAGAGTAATCAAGATTCAAGTTCTAGTGCTACTGTACTATCTTGGGACATTAACAAAGACAGGAAATCCCTAAAACCATATCCTGGTAGAAGAAAGACAAGAACCAGAAGTAGCTTAAACAGTAAGTTTGGTGCATGTCTTCTTTCGAGTCATTTTTCAAGTAAATCAGCAGGTGTTTATTTCTCAGTATGTGATGAGGGTGCCAAAGAGATGTGCAATCCTGGGATTCTCCTTTCCTGCTACAATTACATGGAAAAGGCAAAATGTACATGTGTGAAACAGTACAGAAACATGGAAGGGGCCATAACCGTTAAGTCCAAGCTGTAGATTAGTGGAGTGGGAGTTCAGATAAGAGGAATCTGATATGAGCTGGAATCTTCAGGAAAAGCTTCAGGGAAGAGGTGGGTGGGGCCCGAGCTCCTCCTGGGAAAAAGAATAGGTGTGCAGAAGGGGGAGCGTTCTAAGTTAGGTAAATCTCCAAGGACAGACGGAGGACCCAGGACCACATTCAGGGACATGATCTGGAGCTGAGACTTCGTGCCGGCTGGTGAGGAACAATGTTGAATCACTAGAAAGGGATCTTAAGAGACAGACATCTGAACCAGTTGTAGGAAATAGGAGTTGCTTCTCGCCTGGACGTGGATAATTGGGAGAGGGATACATGAGTTTTTATATTTGTCCTAAGTAAATTTATCCACTGTACACTTTTTCCTTTCCTTTCAGTCTTGCCGCTTTTCCCTCCCAGTCCTGCCAGTGACCGTTATAAAGACCAAGTAAGTCAATTTGACCTGGGCTGCCTTGTGCCCTGTGGCATCAGCACGGCACGGGCAGACCTGCTTAGGGTTAAACTGTATTTATTTCTTAAAAAGAAAAAGCAGTGGTTGTAATCCACTGTCAGTAGAAACTGCAAGGACTTCTAAACATTTAGTATGACCTTGGGTAAAGACTTAGGATCTTTCTTCCTTGTTCCCAGATGTTGCTGCAAGATTATAATAGTGCTTAACATCTGGGCTGTTCTGATTTACTGCAAATGTGTGCTCTTTTGAGTTTACTTTTAAAAATAAACTTCTTGGTTTAATTTTCCCTTAGTGTTCAGTTCGTTGATGTGCTACTTCCAAAGCTTTTAGTGATTTAGACATTTAAACCTTTATTTTGCAAGTGGTTGAAATGCCTTCAGGGTTACGTAAATATTGAATAAACCCTCAAACTTTCTTAATTTCCTTCAATTATCCTTGTTTTTTAGAAAAGTAGTTAAGAGTAGGAACACCAGTGTCCTCCAGACCAATTCAAAGCCTAATTTTAGCTGAATTACCTCTCTCAGGAGTTGGCTTTTGTTTCTTGTTAAGTGAGAACCATCCGGCCTGGCTGCTGGGATTCTGAGGGCATCCACAGCAATGTGGTTAGTGCTCCAGTCATAGCTAGAGGTCTGCCCCCACCCGCCTCCCTCCTTCAGCCAGGGGAGTGCTGCCCACAGTGCATCTCAGGGCCTCTCCGGTCCTCTATGGCAGAGAACGTTTGCAGATTAAACCTGCGAGCCAGAGTAAGTACCCGCATATTTATTCAACCTGAAACAATGAGTTATCCGTTAGAAATAGACCTAGAGAACAGTGTTTAGTAAATACACCTTATGTTTTAAATAAGCACCAAAGAAACGTCAAAGCTCCGAGAACCCATAAATTTAAGCTGTGCAAGTGATGAGAAGTCTATGGAGGGCATTGCTGTCTTTGTACAAATAGTGGTATTCAAAATCCACTTCTCTGTGTTGGAGTATAAGAGAATAATTTAGAGCAGGGGCCAGCAAACTTTTTCTGCAAACAGCCAGAGAGTAAATATTTTCATCTCTGTGGGCCATATGGTTTCTGTGGCAACTATTCAACTCTGCCATTGTAACACGAAGGCTGCCCTGGACAAAACCGAAACAAATGGGTGTGTTGTGTTCAAATAAAATGTTATTTACCAAAACCTGATTTGGAGCAGTGGTTAACTTTAGCGGTCATCAGGATGGCCAGGAGGGTTTGTTAACATGCAGGTTGCTGGGTTTCGTTCCCAGAGTTTCTGATTGAGTAGTTGAGGCTTGAGAATTTGCATTTCCATCAGGTTCCCAGGTGTTGCTGATGCCGTGGGCTGGGACCACATTTTGACTTTGAGTTATTTTTTATTTAGAATTATCAATTGATGTATGACCTAATGTGTTCCAACTCTGGGATCTTATAGTCTTGGCATTTCAAATGGAGCAAATCCAACACTTAAACTTTTAAAAAGGATATTGGAAATGCCTTAGAACTTTTTGATGACTTGTCTTGAGTGGTTATGAATGTTAACACTTCTAAAATGTACTATATTTTAGGCTAAACTTTTAACACCATTATGGAAAGGTGCCTCCAGGCAAAATGACGCCACACATCCAAAAATTTCTGAAACAAAATTTCAGGGTAGTTCTGCCCATTTAATTCCTGAAACCTCTGCCCAGAAAACAGGTATCTGATTTCTGTTGATTTACATAGAAAACAGTTGTATTTTGGGAAAGGTAGTTTGAAATAAATAAAATGTTTTTCTTTTACTGTCAAAGAAAGTGTGAAAATATGCTGTTCTCCTCTTTAATATTCTCATTGGCAAAAGACAGAGGATGATTAAGTTGTAATTTTACTTTAACAGCTGAGATCAGCTTGTGTATAAATGAATGCTTTGTTCTCTTTTAAAGAAATAAGAAACTCAAATGATGACTTGCTAGCAGGGAGTGGTAAACTTTTTTGGTAAAGAACTGGGTGATAAATATTTGTTGCTTTTTGGCCCCTATAGTTTCTGCTGCAACTATTTAATTCTGCAGTTGCAGCACAAAATCAGCCACAGGTAAGATGTAAGTCAATGGGCATTAGCTGTGATTTTATAAAACTTTATTTATAAAACCAGGCAGCAGAATCGGCATAAGGGGCCAGAGTTTGCCAGCCCTTGACCTATAGGGTTTATCTTAACCACCACTGTATTTTATTGAAACTATTTGCATCTTTTAAACTTGTAAGAGTAGGGGTTTTGTTTCTCTCACCTTTATCATTCTGCAGCTTACTTACCATACTGCCAGGCACATAATGCCACCAAGAAAGGCAACTGACAACCTTTCAGCTTGGCTGCCACTGGCAGAAAAGAAGGAAGGAAAAGAAACAAGGAGAGAGGAAAATTAGCAATAGAGACTAAGAGGAGATAGGGGAGTGGAACTAAGAGAGAGAAGGAGAGGGACCACAGTGTTGAGGCAGTAGAATCCTGGCCCATGAATTTGGGGCCAGATCACATCTATTAAAAGTGCTGATCTAATTGAAGGAAGTGGCTATTCATTTTATCTACAGTGCATTTTAGGGCCTCTCAGGTGAACTGCTGACCCAGTAACCATACTTGCCATGAAAGATACGAAGTTTGGGGTTTTCTTTCTTTCAGTTAGTACTGTGTCCCATTGTTTTTGATGGTGAGATTTGCTATGTAGAGGGACAGTGAAATGTTAGCGCCTGAAGTTGCTTCATAGTGTGTTCATTCCCTTGAAATTGTTCTCTCTAATACTCAGAACTTGAGAGCCCCCACCCACTGAGCAGTGTCTCTTCACTGGAGCACTCAGAAGAACAGAATGTATCTAAGGTACTATTTAATTATTGGGTTTTCCAGAATTAATGTTATATTTGCATAATGTACTGGCTTATTCCTTCTTAAAGGATAATGTAACATCATTTGTGTTTTATTTGGAAACAAGTATGTACATGTATTTGTGGTCTGTTTGCCTTTTTTTCAAGACTGTAAACGAAGACTCATTGATGAAAAGTGCTAACCTCAAACATAAACTGGAAAACCTGGAAGACAGAGGTGAGAGAATACTAAACTCTTTTTGCAGAATTAGACAAAGAAAAATTAATCAGATTTGGGGGGGCTGTGCTATTATTCAAATTGCATCAGATAAACATTGTTGTGAGAGAGAAACATTGATCGATTGCCTCCTGACTAGGGATTGAACCCACAACCTAGGTATGTGCCCTGAGAGGGAATTGAACCTTTTGGTGTCCGGGAAGATACTCCAACCAACTGAACCACCTGGCTAGGGCTGAATTATTTTCTTTCAAACATCATTTACCCTTGAAACAATGCAACCCTCTAGAAAATATCCATCTATACTTTTCAAACAAATGAATATTTACCACAGGGGTTTTGTTTCTCTCACCTTTATCATTCTGCAGCTTACCACATTGTCAGGCACATAATGGAACCAAGTAAGCATGCGACTGACAACTTCTCAGCTTGGTGATGAACTCTTTTAGCTTTTTTTTTATTTTTTATTTTTTTTATGGGAACATTTCTTGTAAATCTAAGAGCAAAGAGAAGAGATAGTGGCTCCTCTGGGAGTTGAGAGTATTTGAGAGTTGAAAATTGAGAGTATTTCTTATGCTTTAATTTAATTTTTTATTACAGAAAAGCTGGATATGGGCTCTTTCTTTTCCAAGTTCTGCAGAGTGGGAATGTGATCTTTAATGAAGTTTTCAGTTTATGAAGATTTTATTATAGCAAGCCATGAACTTCATCATTCATTGATCATTTTATTTATATACCTGGTATATAATTATTTTAACATTGACTATTCTCTAGCATAATTATAACAGCAAAATTATTTTCCTTTTGTTATCTTGAAGTCTATGACTGGTATTTCCTACTGTGGTGCTATTTCTAAAAATTTGTGTATTTACAATTCCTCCCAAAAAGTAGTTTTAGCAGATCTTAAAATGCTAAACTTTATTAATTTCTATTTATAACTTATGTAGCAGGCATTTGGGTCCCTAAAGTTTTTGATATTCCTCTATTTCTTTATTAGTAATATAAGGTAACTAGAATAAATTATCTCTTTTATCAAGATTCTGTTCTAGGATATAAGATGTCCTTTTATTAAATCATTTTTATTTTTTAATTACATTTTACATACATTATTATATTATGCATGTTTCAGGTGTACACCTTCAGTGATTAGATATTACATAACTTACTAAGTGATCATCCTGATAAATCTCACACCCATCTGACACCATAAAAAGTTATTAGAATATTATTGACTATACTAGAGGCCTGGTGCACGAATTTGTGCATGGGTGGGGTCCCTTGGCCTGGCTGGCGATTGGGGCCCATTGGGGCCAGCTGGGCAGGGGGAGGGACCATGGGGGGAGGTTGGCTGTGGGAGCACACTGACCACCAGAGGGTAGCTCCTGCATTGAGCATGTGCGTCAGAATGACTGGTCAACCGGTCGTTTGGTTGGCCAGTTGTAACAGTCACTTAGGCTTTTATATATATAGATTCCTTATGCTGTACTTTACCTCCTGTGACTATTCTGTAACAACCAATTTGCACTTCTTAATTCCTTCACCTTTTTTAACCACCTCCCTATCCCCCTCCCACCTGGCAACCGTCATAATGTTCTCTGTTTTTATGAGTCGGTTTCTGTTCTGCTTGTTCATTTTTTTATTTATTTTTACATGCAATCAGTGATAGATATGCATTTATTTCCATTTTATTGTTCAAAATTTTTCTCCTTCTCCTCCTCCTTCTCCTAGTTCTCAACCTGTGGGCCGCAACCCCTGAAAATACATCCTGCATATCAGATATTTACATTACGATTCATAACAGTAGCAAAATTACAGTTATGAAGTAGCAACGAAAATAATTTTATGGTTGGGGTCACCACAACATGAGGAACTGTATTAAAGGGTCTCAGCATTAGGAAGGTTGAGAACCACTGTAAGACCCTTTAAACCTTTCTTGTAATACTGGTTTGGTGGTCATGAACTCTTTTAGCTTCTTTTATATGGGACATCAATGGGAGGTACTTACCCCCAGGCCAATCAGCTACAAGGACTAGCTGTGATCATAGACCACCATGGAGGATAAGCTGTGCAGGGCCCCACCCAACATAGTAGAACCATTACTTTAGTGGGGCTCTGGTTCCACTGAGTCTACCCCTTGACTGAATCACTTATGGGGGTGATTGGGTGGTGATGCTTCAACATGGTCTGAGGCTGTCTACTAGGTGTACTGGCTCAGGGGTTTTTCAGGAAGTATAAGCCAAGCTCAGTCACTGCCTCTGTTCTGCCTGGGGCCACCTGGCATGAGCTAGAAAGCAATCTGTAGATGGCTGCTACTTGTGCTGGGCTTGGAGATGCCCAGGCAAGACCAAGCTTTGAACCAAGGTTGGAAAAGCCACTGGAAACAGCCTGAGTGGGCCTGAAAGTTGGGTGGTGTGTAACCTCAGAGAATCACTAGGGTGGGACAAACAGTGTAGCCAGTTTGATGGAGTCTCAGCTATAGCACCCACCTGGTGGCTCTGTGGGAGGAGGGCTCACCAAAGGAACAGTGGCCTCTGCCAGCACTTCTGTCTGGGAGAAAGCTGCCACCCCAGCATTGGAGCTCAGAGGGCGTAAGTCTGAGTAAGTCCATGGGTGGGCCCTGTAAGAGGTGCTGCCTGGGACTCCAGCAGCCTCCATCTCACTCAGCCTTAATCCCTGCTGTTTTTTACAGCCAGAAGTTATGAGAACTCTTTCTGGTACTGGAACCCTGACCTGGGAGGCTTTGTGTGGGGTTGGGACCCTTGCTCCTCAGGGTGGTCATCCACAGCCAAGATACCCCTCCCGATTTTTATCCAACACAAGTGGGTTTAGGACCAGCCCATTCTACGTCTTTGCCCCTCCTACCAATCTCTATGTGGCTTTTTGTTTAATTCCCTAGTTGTAGGACTTCCATTCAGTCTGTTTTCAGCGTGTTTTGAATGATGATTTTGTAGTTTAGTTGTAATTTTGATGTGGTGTGGGAGGATGTGAGTACCATGTTAACCTACATCACCATCTTGACCAGAAGGCAAGATGTCATTTCTTATTCAAGATCTTATTTCATAGTGGCTTGGATATTCTGCAGCATTCAATCATTCCTTTACTCTCTGAATGTCTACTGAGTGTCTGCTATGTGTGAGACACTTTTCTACATGTTAGATATTCTAGAGAACAAAACAGAAATAATGCCTGACCTCATTGGAGCTTACCTTCTAGTTGGGGAGACATAATACATAAGAAAAGTAAAACATGTAGTATATTATATTGTGATAAAGGCTAAGAAAAATTAATTGGGAAAGAGGTTTAGAAGTTGGGGGTGGTATTGAAATTTTAGGTTGAATGGCCAGAGGAAACCTCAGTGCAGATATGTGGGGGGAAGGACTCAAGTTAGAGGAATAAGTGCCAAGGTCTTTAGGTGAGAATGTGTCTGGGGTTCTGAGGAACCGCAAGGCGACCAGGGTAGAGGAGCAGAGTGGAGAAAGAGAAACTTGCCTCTTTGCTTCTCTACTGTCTTCCTACCACACTGTACAACTCTTTGCACATAGTAACATTCAATTATTTATTAAGCAAATTAATTAAATTAGATTCTAGAACTTTCAGAGGGAAAACCAATAGTGATTAAGCTGGATATGTGAGGACAAGGGGGAAAGCAGATGACTTTGCAGGTAAGTGTGTGTGTAGTGGCTAAGTATATGGTGGAGAAGAAAGTGGTTAGGGCGAGGAGGGATAGGAAGGAGTGGGTTCAAGGCGGAGCTGTTGAGTGGGCAATTGGAAACACAAGTTTGCTGCTTAAGAGAGCTCAGACAAGAAAGGTATTTGGGAGATGATGACGTTATGGGATTGATGAGATCCTCCAGGGTCACGCTGTGGGAATGTAGAAAGAGATATGGATTCATTCTACAGGCAGGACCTCAGACCCTGATGATGGAAGAGAAGCAGACAGTAAAGAGAAGCAGGAGTCAGGCTGAATCCTAGTGTACTCTTGACAATGGTGGTGCCTCTGATAAGATCAGGAAGGCATGGATGGGGCGAAAATGAATATTAGAATAAAAAATATTTACTAAATGCCTAATTAAAAAGAGAATCTATATTTAAGTCTCATAAGCTGAGGCTCTCAAAGTCTCAAGCTGGTGAGGAGCCAAAATGACCTCATTTATAAGGTAGCCCTCAGTACAACCCTAAAGCTCCAGTGTTACCAGCAGGTGGCGCATTCCGCAGGGTGATAGAAGAGCTTCCAAAGCCCATTTGCCTGGAAACCTTGCTACCTTGCCATTTAGCCTTGAGCCTGTGAAGTGTTTGTTGTTGTAGTTGTTCTTTTGTTTTGTTTGTTTGTTTTGCAGGACATGGAGGGGAGCAGTATTTTTGATGCCAATGATTACTGCTTTTTGTTTGAGTCAGTCAGTACTTATTCCTAATGGTTCAGAGCTCATCAAAGGGAGGCCTGTTCCCATGTGTCCTTTTTAGGCATCAGTAGACTTAGTGCTTTGATACTTGTTGAATGTGCCAAATGGTAAGTAATTAGTAACAGGGAAGAACTTTCACTTACTGCTCGTCAAGGTTAGATATTAACTGTCGAAAAGAGGACTAACTAAACTTGGGATAAAAATAATGTGTGTGTGGTTATTAATGTGCTGTGCTTGCCTTTAGACATGTCGGATGGTAGTTCTGCTAAGTGGAAACAGTCAAAAGTGGAAGAGGATGGTGCTCCAGGCTCCCTTTCCTCCGTGACAGAAGCAGCAGACTTGGCAGGTAACATTATGCATCTAGCCAGCCAGTCAAGCAAGACTGTGAGAAAGTGTAAGCACTGAATGTACCAACATGAATTACCAGGGGGTTACAGTTTGAAGATCATAGCAGCTGCAGAGCCCTAAAAACTAAGCGTTCTGTCCTTTCAGAGACACATAAATTGCTGCACAAATTACAGATAAAAGCCAGCACATCTCCTCCCTAGCCTTTAGATTTCTGCCTCTTAACTCGTCTTTATGGCAATTTTCAGGGCCTGGGCATTCCTGAACGTATAGGTCTCTGCTTTAGTTGATAGTTATTAACTAAATTTCTGTGGTGGATACATTCACTCTATACCAGTGAAGGAGGGGGATCTGAAATGTCTGCATTTTGGGGGATGGCCTTCTGGATGAGTGGCGCCACTATATTTTGAAACACAAGTCTCCAAGAAGGCAGGTTTGGAAGCCCAGGGTACTGGAGGGTGGTGAAGGGCCAGGCAGCCCGGCTTCCAGTCCTGAAGCAGTTGGTGTGAGCTTGCACAAGTTATCTGCTCTCTCTGTTTTTTTTTTTGTTTGTTTGTTTGTTTGTTTTTTAAATATATTTATTGATTTTTTACAGAGAGGAAGGGAGAGGGATAGAGAGTTAGAAACATCGATGGGAGAGAAACATCGATCAGCTGCCTCCTGCACATCTCCTACTGGGGATGTGCCCGCAACCCAGGTACATGCCCTTGGCCGGAATCGAACCTGGGACCTTTCAGTCCGCAGGCTGACGCTCTATCCACTGAGCCAAACCGGTTAGGGCATGCTCTCTCTGTTTTTATGAGGATTAAAGGAGTTGACACATGCAAATCTCTTAGAACAGTGGTCGGCAAACTGCGGCTCGTGAGCCACATGCAGCTCTTTGGCCCCTTGAGTGTGGCTCTTCCATAAAATACCGACTTCTGCGCATGGGCCACGAAGTTTCAATCGCACTATACGTGCGCGCCCGCACGTGGTATTTTGTGGAAGAGCCACACTCAAGGGGCCAAAGAGCCGCATGTGGCTCGCGAGCCGCAGTTTGCCGAGCTGCAGTTTGCCGACCACTGTGAATGATGCCAGACCCCTCATGTGCTCTCAGGAAACGTCTGGCATCCGGAGTTGTTATGCCAGTGTTTCCCTCATAGAAATGCCCTACCCATCACATCCTCCTTAAAACCTACTGCACCTCAGCCTGCTTCTTAGACATCATATCGGTCGCACTGATGTAAAGTGCTGGGAAAGTTTGGATGGAGCGGACACTTGCTGGAGAAGGAGGTTTGGTAAGAAGCAGCATGAAGCGCCTGCCGTGGGGACTCTTGGCTTGAGTTGGCCTTGTCGGCATCAGCCAGAGCCAGCCCGCTGCAGTCAAGCCAGGCACCCAAGGGCTTCGTGGATTGGATGTGTGCTTCTGTCTCACTCCATCCTCCCGGCAGCTGATGGACTAAGCACATCTACTTCGCACTTTGTTAATTTTACTTAATGTTCTGTTTTTATTGTTCAGAAAACATTTCTACTCCACCCCTGGCCGTTGTGCCGGAGAACTTGAATAGTTCTGCTGTTATCACAACCTTTGAGAACTTCACTAGAGAACTGGAAAGACAATGTGAGGTAATGGTCCACTGACAATGAAAAGCTAGCTTGTTATGAGTTTAAAGTAACAGGTTCATATTATTTATTAATACCATTATCTTTCATGTGTGCAAGTATTCCTGAGTCTGTCTTAGCTGTGGCCCCTGACTTCAGAGTCTTGGTGAATTGTGGTTTGTGTTTATCAGAGAGCTACTTCATGTTCATTTGCTGCCATGGGACCAGAAGGACTATGTGCAAATTGGACTCATGGTTAGGTGTCACTGAAGGCATTCTCAGACAACTGAACTAGCAGGAGGCAATGATTTTGTCACAATGATGGACAAGGAGGATTTGGGAGAAGAAGGCATGTGGCTAGGAGAGGTGTCTGGGACAAAGTTGGAGTTAGGCTGTGGGAGGGTGCCCAGCAGAGTGCTGGCTTACCTGACACTGCACCTGTAGGCTGTCCCAAAACTGTACCTGCCAGATGAACTTTGGAACCATTTCAGTCTCCTCTTTTTTGTCCTATTTTTGTATATCCCTAGAGTTATTTAATAGCACATTTGAGAGAACTGTCTTACACTAATACACATTCATTTAACTAAGTTGGAAGATCTCCAAAGTCTTATTTTCTACAATACTCTATAAGCTAATTTATAATGGAAAGTTGTACATGATATTCAATATGTGTTGCAATAGTATGAATGCAAGTTTTTCTATTTTAGCTTATTGTTCTGTATTGGTACTGGCCCTGAGGTAGTACATGGGAGGTGTGTAGCATTGCACCTTTTCACTGTTCGTTAGCAGTAATGTTTGCTATGAATGTTGTGTGCTGTCAAAATCTTTTTAATACAAAGCCTGCCTTTCATTTGTGTGGTTATGGTTGACCCAAATGTGATCTTGTATTGTTATTATGGTTTAGCTTAGGTACAGAAGGAGTGCACTTTATTCAGAATATGCAAAGCAAGCACCGAGCTGCCTAATAAAACTTTTGAACCAGATACATCACTGTAGGTAAGTATTGGCTTTCAAAACAAGTTTATAAAAGTGTGATTGCTCACAAATGTTTGTCTCATGACCACTGTGCTGGGTCGTGAGGAGTTGGAGCTCAGGAAGATGTGAGGTTTGATATATTGCTTAACCCTTCCAGGTGTCTGGTTCTTCATAAGATGAGGGGCTGAACTGAAGGCCCTTCTTAAGCCTCTTTATGGCTTACCATTATATGGTTCTAAAAGACTACAGTAGGTCCTTGGGTTACGTCGGAGATCAGTTCCTACTACGGCGCAACATAATGTGATTTTCGCCGTAAGTCGGAACCCACCTACATAAGCACCTACGTCACTCACATGGAGCACATACAGCAGTAATGAAGTGAAACAGTAAAAAAAAATGTAAAAGAAAGATAACAATTCCTGACCTTGTGGTAAATAAATAATAAAAAACATAAAGCACATATGTACATACGTTGAAATGATGAAACTTTTTTTTAATAAATAAATGGAAGATGGCGACATAACCACGAAACGATGTACGTCGAGTCTGACGTAACCCGAGGACTGCCTGTATTCTTAAAAAGTTCATAATCCAACTGTGAAGACAGGGCAAGCATGTAAAAATGCGGGATAAATGATATGTGGTATGGACATACAGTGGGATATTCAACTTAAAAGGAATGGAATTCTAATATAAGCTACAACATAGATGAATCTTGAGGACATTATTTTAAGTGAAATATATAAAAGGACAATTATATGACTCCACTTATATGAAGTACCTAGAATAGGCAAATTCATAGAGACATAAAGTGGAATAGAGGTTACCAGCGGTTGGGGGAGTGGGAAATGGGTAGTTATTGTTTAGTCAATAAAGAGTTTCTATTTGGGATGATGGAAAAATTCTGGAAATGGAGAGTGGTGGTGGTCACACAACATTGTGAATGTCCTACCACTACTGAATTGTACACTTAAAATGATCAAAAGGGTCAATTTTATGTTATGTATATTTTGCAACAATAAAAAAATACTACACACTCATGCACACACAGACCCTTGTCACCATGTAGCAAGAAGTAAAAAGGAGCTGAGATTTCAGACAGATGTGAAGGACAAGAAGTGCGAACGGGGAGATGGGTTTCTGTAGTGACTGGAGTTGATCCAGAGTGATTACAGTGGAAGTGCTTCTGGAGTGAGGTTTTGGAAACAGATATGAATGGAACAGGGAAGGTGAGTATAGAGATGGTTCCTGTTGGAGAGAATGGCCTGTAAGGGAAGGTGGGGAAGGAAATGCTGGCAGGCCGATTTACTTAACCGACGTAGAAAGTTTCTTAAGGCAGAATATATAACATGAATAGAAATTTATAATTTTTTTCAAACATTTATACATTGCATGTACTGTCATTTGAGTCTCAAAACAAGCCCATGAGGGACTTTGGACTTGTGGAACTTCCATCATCTTTTAAGGGGCATGCATGTATTCATTTTTTAAAAAAAATAGTTTTATTGATTTTTAGAGAGAAAGGAAGGGAGAGGGAGAGAGAAAGAGAAACAGCCAAGTGAGAGCAGAACATGGGTCAGCTGCCTCCTACACGCCCCCTGCTGGGGATAGAGCCCTGCAAGCTGGGAACGTGCCCTGAGGGGGAATAGAATCGGGGACCTTTTTGGTGCATAGGATGATGCCCAACCAACTGAGCCACCCAGTCAGGGCTTTACTCATCGTTTTGTTCAGCAAATGCACACAGTGGCGCTCGCTGGGTGCCGGTTCTGCGATCCATGCAGGAGTGCAGGGGAGCAAACTTTAGGGCGGCTTGCCTTCGCAGAGCCTCCTGCCTAACGGAGAAGACAAGAAGCAAGTGAACAAATAAGCAGTTTATATGGTGGTTAGACACAGAATAGTGACTGTTAGAAATTTCAAAATGAAAACGTAGAAATGGAAAAAAAAGTTAGCCAATTTCAGTTTTCAGAGCCCGCTTACGCAAGAAAAAGGGGAGCAAGGGGAGGTAGGAAGCTCGGGAGCCGTGGTTAGTGGGACCGTGGCTGCTGCTGGCCCAGGCCTGGCGTCGGCCCCCATTCCCTGAGTCCTCTCTCCTTTGCTCTGCAAAGTATGATTTGAAATACCAGCTTCCTCCGGCTTTTGTTGAAAGGCTAAATCAAAGTTCGCATAGTACGTTTTGGGGTGAGGATGGGCAGGCAGTGAGGGGAGGGAAGAGAGACATGTATTCTTAAAATGAATGTCTGGAGAAGAAGGTGACATATCCCTGCAGGAAGAGGATTAAGTGGGTCTTTGCCACAGCCAAGCAGTCCAGTGCGATCTGTTCCTTTTACCTTTATCAGGCTGAATAAACTAGAGCAGTTTAACAATATTGTTCTTCGAGAGCTGACCAGCCTTGAGAAGGATATGCAGGCTCTGAAACACCTTGAGAAGGATGTTCTGGTAAGTTCTTTGTGTTTACAATGTTCTCTGTGACTTACGAGAATCTGTTCCAGGGTGGAATAACAGCTTACTGCTTAAAGGCAACTTTTGTTCAATTGTAGGAGTTTTGGGGGAAACAGGCTGCTGATCTGAAATCATTCTGCGATCTGCAAATGCTGAGGTATTTTTTTAAAAATATTCTTTCTAGAAGTATCTTAGTTGAAGTGTGAGGTAGTGGGGGTTGATGTTGGTAAAACTTGACACAGGAGCTCCGTAGCTGCTGCTTGTTAAACCAGCCACTTCTGTGGCGCTCTGAGCAGAGTGTGGCTTTGGACGTCCACCGAGAAGTGTAAATTTTGAAAAGCTGAAACAGGGTCATCCGAATTGCAGTGCTTTTGATCCAAGTTGATTTATTTAAAAAAATGAAAGTGAGTAGATTTTGAGCAAAATATTTAGATTTGTGAGTAAGCAGTTGATTTTCAATTGTATACGAATTGTGTTCCTGGTACAATCGATTCGATCAAGAGCACACACATATAAGACAACAAGTGGCTTTATCCTCCTCACGTTCTGTGGCTGCTGCTTCAGTCCCTCTGCAGTCCCCTCCCGCTGCGTGTAGGGAGGGGCAGTGCTTCTGCCTGGGAGGAAGTCTAGTGTTTCCTTCCGCTTGAACACTCAGAAGGGATCCCTGTGTAAACTTGCAGTGGCTAAAGCTGTATCTGCCAGTTGAGAACCAGCTCTGTCACAGAAATCTAACTCAGGTGGTTTTAGGATGGACAGTATTCTGCTTGCACCATATATTTCAAACAACACTTTAGAAATCTGAGTTATTCCTCCTCCGTTACTCCATTTAGCACAATAATAATGACAGTACAGACCATGGATTTTCAAAATTCTTGCACACGCACATCGCCCTCCATGTGTTCTCAAAGGGGATATGCTTTTAGAACCTCTTTACTGAGTGCCCCAGGTTTCGAACTCTTAAACTGAAAAGTTTTTTTAAAGATAATTTCCATTGTATTTTTTTTTCCAGAGAACTTTAGTCCTTAAGGACTTAGCTCCTTACACGGGCTTTGGTGGAGGTCATGGGGCAGCACCCAAAGGTCTGAATTAGGGTGGGGATGTTCAGTCCTTCCCAGCTTCAGGAGGCAGCCAATCAATGATTCTCCCTCATCATTGATGTTTCTATCTCTCTCTCCCTCTCCCTTTCTCTCTGAAATCAATCAAATATATTTTTAAAAAGTTGACACTTGGATTTAAAAAACATATATTAAAAATAACAAATAAATCTGTACATATTTATGTAAGTAACAGATTTTTATGAAAAATAAGCAGATTTTTGAAAGCAGGAAATGTGAGAAGAGTAGCACTTTTTTATGTTTTTGCAAATTTCTTTAATGTCTGGCCTAATAGAAGACAGATGCATTCTCATGTCTGCTTCTGAATTCAATCTGTTGTGATATCACATCCTGCAGCCTCTATAAAATTCAACTGTATATTCATGAGCGAGTAAGAATAAAAAAAGCAAATAATGTCTTATTATTATTACCATTTGCCAAAATACATTTTGACCTCACAGAACCTTTGGAAGCTTAGTTTCCTTAGAGATCCCCAAGGAAAGGAGGTGGGTCCCTTTAGAGTTCCAAAGATTCACACTTTGAGAAATGCTGTTATAAAGCAACACTATAATAAGCATTAGAGAAAAATATACCCCCTAGTCTTCTGAAACCTGGAGAAGTCACTTATTTTGACTGAAGCCCAGATTTTAGATCACTGTCTCTCTAGTTCACACAGATTACATTGTAGGATACTAATTACTATTTACATTCATCTTGCTTGTTAATAGGCCCCTGTGTGAATTTATAATACCTCAAAGAACAGACTGCTTCAATATACATCCCTCTGGGTTTTGCACTTGCTTTCCTTTCTTCCAAACACCCAAGGAAACCACCCTGTGGCTTACATATGAGAGAGGATGGTGATGCTCTTAGCTCATGCTGAATGCTGACTGGGCCCAGGCTCTAGGCTAAGCGCTTGCAGTGCCACAAGCTTTAGAGAAGTTAATTAGCTGGGTTGATATCCAGTATCTGGATCTGGTCAGTATCCAGTGTCATCCCTTTGTCATGTTGGCACATTAGTGTTGGCCTTATGTAATTTTCTAGGGAGATGAGGACATTTCTCAGACCAGATTATTTCAGCCCCTAGCACAGGGCTACAAAGAGATTGGGATTCAGTGATTTGAGTTGTGGTCATGAAATACCTCTGCATATGTGTGGGCTAGTGGTATTGGCAGATGATGCATAAAATAGAATCAAGTAAAATATTAATTTCTTATGTCAGTATCCTAGATTGGCCATTGACTCTCTCAGCTCACATAGATAACAATCTATGAAATAACTCTGTTTATGTATATACACTAGAGGCCCATTGCACGAAGAGATTCGTGCAATAGGCCTTCCCTTCCCCTGGCTGCCAGCACCGGTTTTCCTCTGGCACCTGGCACCCAGGCCTTCGCTCCTCTTTGTGGCTCCAGATGGAGCCTTCAGTCTTCGCTCTGCCGCTTCGCCCCTACATATGCAAATTAACCGCCATCTTTGTTGGGTTAATTTGCATACTCTCCTGATTGGCTGGTGAGTGTAGCAGAGGGACAGTTAATTTACATGTTTGTCTATTATTAGGTAAGATAATATGTATATTCCTATTTTTAATTGCCTAATGTGAATATAATGAGATGGACTAATTTCTTCCAGGCTTAATGCAATTCAGCCTTCCTGAAGAAAGCCAAAGTCCAGTTTTATTATTGGCATTCCTGGGGTAGGTACAAGACTGGCTTTGTTCAGATGATGTGTACTGGAGTGGGAGAAGCAAGCACTAAAAGATATGTTGTCCATATTACAGCTCTTCACTGAGCGTTCTCCTCTTTCACAGTATCTCCCATTTAGCTATTATCCCTTGGATCTGGGTCATTCATTCACTAAACATTTACAATTGAGTGCTTGCTCTGCTGCCAAGCACTATGCAAAATGTGGAAATACAATGGTTATCACACAGACATTCTCCCACCTCCATTGAAAATAAATTCCCTGAAGGAATACAGAAAAAAAAGACAAATAAACAAAACTAATTGCAAGTTTACTAAATGCTTTGAGGGATATTAACAAAGTGTTTTGGCAGAGAGTAATAGTGTAAAGCCGTGGTCGGCAAACTGCAGCTCGCGAGCCACATGCGGCTCTTTGACCCCTTGAGTGTGGCTCTTCCTAAGCCTTAGGAGTACCCTAATTAAGTTAATAACAGTGTACCTACCTATATAGTCTAAGTTTAAAAAATTTGGCTCTCAAAAGAAATTTCAATCGTTGTCCTGTTGATATTTGGCTCTGTTGACTAATGAGTTTGCCGACCACTGGTGTAAAGTATCAATTTCAGATAGGATGCTCATCAGTGGTTTCTCTAAGGAAGTGACATTTAAGGTGAATAGACTTGGGAACAGTTTACAGCAACCAATTTGGGTGGGGACGAACTTGACATCTTTGAGGAACTCAAGTTCTTGGCTCACAGTGGTATAGGGACAGTTATTTGAAATGAAGTTGGGAACATGGTCGACTCTCAATGAGGTAAGGCCTCATTGCCCTTGTTGAGGAGTTTGAATTTTTTTCCTTCACTAAGGGTGAAGGAAAATTTGGATGGGTTTTGAGCAAAGGCATTGAGGGTGAGGGTAATATAATCTGATTTAGATATATATATTTTTTAAAGATATATTTTATTGATTTTTTACAGAGAGGAAGGGAGAGGGATAGAGAGTTAGAAACATCGATCAGCTCCCTCCTGCACACTCCCTACTGGGGATGTGCCTGCAACCAAGGTACATGCCCTTGACCGGAATCGAACCTGGGACCCTTGAGTCCGCAGGCCGACGCTCTATCCACTGAGCCAAACCAGTTAGGGCGGATTTATATTTTAAGAAAAACATTCTAGCTACTGTGTTGAGAATTGATTGGGGAAGTAAAGAATAGAAGGTGAGGGGAAGAATAGAAGAGGAAGGCGTTGGAGGTGGACAAAAATGGAGATTCCAGATCCATTTTGGAGCTAGAATTAATAAATTACTGACAGATGGAAGGAATAGGCAAAGGAAGCAGAAATAAGGATGACTCCTAGTTTTTTGTCTTTTAACAGTTGGATGGGTGGTGGTGCCAGTTAGACCGATAGGGAAGATTTGGGGTGGGAGGAATCAGTGGGTGGAGCAGAAACTAGAGTTAATTTGTTAACATTTTAACTTTCAGATGTCTATGCAATCCAAGTTTTGATGAGAACCTGGAATAATGGACAGCTTTCCAGGAAAATATAATTTAACGAAATAGACTCCTGAATACATGGAATAATAGGCAAATATTCATAGAGGAAATAAAGTTGATAAAGAACTACCCTACAAACATGTATGAATCCAGATTGCAGCACAGAGGAGTTCTACTGTTTGTTTAAAGAAGAATAACTTTAGTGCTGTTCAGGTTGATTGGTACTGGTGAATTCATTATAGGAAATGGTCTTAAGACTTTCTTCTGGGGTAGGGAGTGCTTTGACCCAAGGGCAGGGGACACTAAGATATATTCAGCCTCTTATAGTCATGGGCTTCTGGGGTTGAGTCAGACCAGTTTTACTCCTCTGTGAGGTCTTCAGGCATCACTTTATCTATTGAGTACGTTATATTCTCTGGTTCAATTTATCCACCTGAATGTAAGATTCACTACATGAGAATAGAGGCTGGACCACATCTGTATCCCAACCAAAAAGCAGACTGCCTGGGTGAATGGATATTTAAAAGAAAAAGAATGCTGCCAGAGATGGAAACTCTGAATTTAGGGGTAAAAAAGGAGGCAGCTGAAAGTGAAGAACTACATAAAACTGCCTTAAAACATTGGCACAAGAACTCAAAAGGCAGAACAGTCTACGACAATTTACTGTTCAAGCAACCAATCATACCTTCACAGCTCCTCAAAGTACTATACCCTTCAAACACTGCCTGATATATCTACACTAATAAAAGAGAAAGATGGTAATTGGCGTACGACCGCTACCCTTCCCATTGGCTAATCAGCATATCCTTATGCAAATTAACTGTCAGCCAAGATGGCGGCCGGCAGCTAGGCAGCTGGAAGCAAACATGAGGCTTGCTTGCTCCAGGGACTGCAGACTGCAACGTTCCCTGCCTGCGCTGCCGGCCTCTGAGCTGGCAGTTTGAAACATTCTAACAAATATAGGGCCGGGATCTCAGAGCTGAAGTTATACATTGTTTCGATTATAGAACCGAAACAAACCAGATACCTGCTCTCAGAGCTAGAGCCAGAGCTAAAGCTGGCCCAGAATAAAATAAAAAAAA